AAGTCATAAAAATATTAAAAAATCACTTTGAAGTTTAAAAAAATCAGTTTATATAAATTTCAGTTTATTTTAGTAGCCCGCAAATGTTAAAAAAAACAGTCTTCTTTTTTCAGACTGCAGACGTTTGGTCCACCTCTTCTACTGCAGAGGTCTACAGATGTGGTCCGCAGACTGCAGACATTTTGCATCAGAAAAAACAAACAGCTCCTAAGTCATTTTGTCCAAATTAAGTCAAAAAGTAACAACCATATGCATTAAGTGCTTAACTCATTAACTCAAAAAGTAACAGGGGCTATTAAGTGTTACCTCAAAACTTTTTAGCAATGGCTGCTATCCAGGCTCTATCTTTATCGTTATATGCATAACTAATGCTTGATGCCAACAACACAAACCCTCTAATCTTGTCTTTAGAGTTATTCCCTTTAAGCACAGGCAAAACCAATAGAGAACGTGTCTCTTCAGGAAGCATGTCCCAGAGCTCAGAATCTGAATTTTTTTTTTACCACTTTTCATTACTTTTAATTTTTATCAGCTAGAAATCTTTTGAACCATATGATAATTCACCTGATCTTTGAGGAAAATAAAGGGTATCTGTCAAATTAAAGAGGCCAATACGTTGTATTTGTTCCTTAAACCATTCAACAGCTTCTTCTTTTGATAAATTCATGGTTTTGGGTGTGTTCCAATAGCCACGTACGCATATCACATCTTGGATAGATATAAGCTATATACCAGTTGAACAAAACAAAAAAAGAATTAGCATATTCAATATGAAAAATATGAGTAAATTCAAGAAACAACATCCTTCCATTTATATGTGTATTGTAGCATCCTAGTTTCATTTCTTTCTATTACAACATTCTCATTGTAGCATTATGCTTTAAATAATGTAATTGATTATAGTAATGAAAATTGCTTGGTAGTTAAATGACATTGCTATAACAGGATAGATTTTCAAAGTACATTGGTGTTATAAGAAGATTAGAAATGATAGTGGGATGCTATATATAATAAACAAATGAATGAAAATATGTTGCTGTTTCTTGCATATAACCCTTAAAAGACAAACTAATCCATTGATTAAGATAGTATAATGCAAGTCTTGGACATGGTGATGAAATACCACAGAAATGGTGTTTGTGTTACGTAATAGTGTGTAGGATCCCCAGGCTAAATCCTCCTTCATGGTTTCAGATATATGCGGTGACATTGCAAAGATTTGCTCAGCGCCTTCAGGGATGTTTGCTTGAATCACCGGAGTAGCACCCTGAATTTGTGTTTCTTTCTAAGTATCAGGATGACAACGAAGAACCAGAAGGAAATAATAAAAGCTTCACCTTCAGAAACTGCCCAATGTAGGGAAGCATGACGGAGAATGCTGCCAAAGAAAGACCAAGTAACTCCGTTCTCTGAAAAGCCATAAAAATTAAACAAAATCAATTGGAAAGGTTTAGCGTTTTATAAACGTATATGTAAAGATTTTGAAGCAGGACCTCTATATTTCAAAGAGGATATATAACTTCTTTCGGATTGCACATAACCTGTTCGTTCAAAATCCTGACTCAAATAAATTACTCACAAGCTGGGCCGGCGTCACGGTGGTTGAATTCGAACCCAAGAAGTGATTCAAAATCAGAAGAGATCCAAATGTATAGCCAATCCATCTGGGTAAATACGATTCATCCAATCCAGGAATTCCTAACGTGAAGCGAAGAACGGATAGATTGAGTTGTTGCTGTTGATTTTGAGAATTGTCGGCGCCAGAGCAGCTTATTTTGGATGATTTCCTTGTGTTGGTGAGAATCTTGAAAGTGTTGAGGCCATTGAATTTGGGTGCGAAATTGGAGCAAATAGTGGAGGGAGTAAGGAACAGAGTACAGCTATGGTTCATTTTGAGGGTTGAGGACTGATGACTGCGTGCGGGTGCGCAAACTGTTGTAGACGATGTACACGGGTCTAGACCCGACCCCGAAAAATCTGGAAACCGAAATTTGATTATTTGTGGAATCGGTCATCGGATCCATAAAAAACCCGTTCCGGTTCACTTACTGTACGATATCAGGTAAACTGATTTATAACCATTTTGAATCTGGGACTTGGAACCAAGTTGAAGCCGGATATGGATTTTGAAACCGGGTTAGAATTTGAATTTGAGAGTTAGAAGTGGATTCCATATCATTGAATTGTTAAAAGATAACTTAGGTGCTCTTTGTTTTTTCCGAAACAAAATGTCTGCAGTCTGCGGACAATATCTGTAGATCTCTGCAGCAGAAGAGGTGGACCAAACGTCTGCAGTTTGAAAAAAGAAGATTGTTTGTTTTTTAATATCTGCGGGCTACTAAAATAAGCTAAAATCTAAATAAACTAATTGTTATAACTACAAAGTGATTTTTTTAATATTTTTATGACTTTGTTATAAATAATAAACAAATCTAGATCAACTTTTATTTATTATTGTATAAAAAATGAAAATAAAAATGGTACAAATTAACGTATATATTTGATAAAAACCAATAATTTTGGTCGCAAAGTTAGACCTAAACATTGTAATTGTGAATCAAATAATATATTATGATTTTAAAATTTGGCACAAAAAAATATAAGAATATATTATGATTTTTTTTCATATTTATATAAACAACTACAATGACCATTATTGTAATAAATTTTTATTTATAAATTTGTCAAAAATATCATGTTTGTGTCGTCGAACTTTTTATTTTTAAGTATTATAACTTTTTTTTTTCAAATTGTTTATCACTAATAAAGTTGGAATAAATATAAATTCAAAAAAACTAAAAAAAATAAAGATATATGTGTTTTTTTAGGCTAGAAGATGTCTGAAGATGTTAGAAGACTCTGGTCCACATCTGCGCCAAGAAGAGGGCGCGTAGACATTTTTAGGTTTGCAGTCTTCAAAAAAACAAACAGTCTGCGAAGACTAATGTCTGCGCGTGGTCTGCGCCGCGCGGACATAAGAGGCTAAGAAGATATGCGGGCAAAAAACAAACATCACCTTAGTTAAGGATAATTGCTTTACGGAACTTTATTGTTGTGTTTATGCTTGTGAATGGTAAAAAAAAATAAAAATGCTTTGCTTGAAAAAATAAAAAAGATACATATCACATAGTAAATTTGGATAAAAAAAAACTGGCCAAATATTTAAATAAACATGTAGTTGACATGTTTATTCAACTACAAATAACACCCGAGATTTTTTCTTGTGGTAATTTCGATCAGTAATACGCAAGAGGTTTTTTCGAGTCAATTGATTCAAGCCTATTCAAATTTTCAGTTTCAGGTCTTGGACGTGCTTAGCCCTAAACCCAATGGACCCATACCTAGCATACCCGATTGTTGTGGGTAGAAATTTTGACTTTTTTACATCTTGAACTTGTACTAACATATCAGCAAAGCCAAGATCTTGGATTTAATCAATATATTTGACTGTCATTGTTTTTCGTGAAATCTTATACAGGAACTTAAGGCTCAATGAAAAAGGAATAGACCAAGTCAAACCACACGTGGTCAATGCCTCATGAACGTTGAAGACTCTCATAAAAGTCGAGTCAATCGAAGATCACGGAAGATACCAAGAATGTCGGAATTATAGTTATCATTATTATGTATATAAAGACTAGCTAATTGATGCACACATAGACACTTCCACTGCTACTTCTTCTCTGATTCTCTCGACACTTGAGCACATTCACACCATTTCTAAGATTATCTATCACTTGTAATTTTATTTCGATTTAATATAAGTTCTAAAGCAGGTGATGCCATCACCTCTCGAGGTTTTATGTCGGATATCCAAAATGATTAAGTGTTTTCCTCGTAATTTACTATGTTCTTGCATTTACTTTCATTCACTTGTTGCTTCATCGATAACAAGTTACACTATTGTTCACTTGATTGTTAATTTGTTTTATCAATTAAAATTACTAAGATATCTTTTGGTATCTTGGTATCTTTTTGAGTATCTTAAAGCTTCATTATGTATATTCACTTATCACTCACTTTAACACTATTTTTGTCCCAAATAAACTCATTTACATCTCAAAAATACTACACTTTAACTTAATAGCTCTTCGAGCACTATTGTTTTCCACCTCATATCTTGGGCACAACCAAGATCTTCGACATATTTCAAAATCTTAAGCACTCCAGTTTTTAACATCTTATTTTAAACATCACACAACACTTACTAATTTGGTTTCGAAGTTAGTTTGTTAATTTTTGGCTAAAACAATTTGGCGTCATCCGTGGCACAAGTGGTGTTATCATATTTTTCTCTTTAAAGTCACTCAAAAAGCTTTTTTTAGATTTTCAATCACTTGCACATTTTTGCACCAAAGATGTATTCTTTACCAAAATTCACTTCTAGAACTACTCCATCCATCTCACTAGTCAGAGCCTACCCCCACCTCTTGTTGTCACCTCACAAAGAAGGAATGTTGAGATCCCTATAAGGACCATTCCAACATCCTCATCGGTTCAATATTCGGGAACTACAACCTAATAAATACCAATTATGATCTCGAACAATGAGATCATATCCATACTGGCCATAATGGAGCAACATATCACTGAGTAAAGCGAAACCAATAAGATGTTGTTTGAAAGAATGGAGACACTAGTCTCAAGCCTGAGAAGACCTATGGAAACTACACCAACTCCATCTTCGATGTTATAGCCCAAGATCCTGAATTTTGAGACTGGTGCATGTAACATCCTCTTTCCATGTATTCATTTTTGACTTTTAGCTATTTATTTTTGTTCATTTGGACTGGCCACGACATGGCATTGGGAGTGCTACGACATGTCACTTGATTGATGAGAAACGCATATACGCGATTGGCCATGGTGTGACGTTATGTTTGCCACAGTGTGGCAGCCATTTGGGCCTAAAACCCTAATTTCGGGATTGGGGCCCTATTTAAGGGCACTAACTCCTAGGGTTGCCTCATTTGGCAAACTCTACCCTTTGAAAAAGAACCTCATCCAAAACCATAGTCTCCATTTGTGTTTTGAGTGCTTGAACTCCATTCTTGTGAAGGTTGAAGGGAAATTTCAGAAAACCCAAGATCTAAAACTTCAAATTTATTGAGATGATGGATCCAAAACAAAATGCGCCAAGCGATTGGCATGACTTGGGCGTAAGCAAGTTCTGTGACTTGGAAAAGTTATGAAATCGATGAAGGGAAAGGGAATGATAGAACAGTGGTAAAAGGAAACTCAGAGAAACAAACCCAATACGAAGAAATATAGTTTTCCTCAAAGTTGACCCAGGAACCTAAAAGATAGTACATTATGGAAACTTGCCTGATGACTGAAGTGATTCGACATCGACATTGGAAAAAAATTACTAATTTCACTCTCATTACCATGTAATATCCCTAAATCTATGAAATCCTCGATGATGGGTTTCTCTAATCTAGATCCAGCCCGAACAATTTTCTTACCCATGATCAAACAAAATACGAGAGAATAAAATGAATAAAAGGAGGAAAGTGATTACCTAAAAGAGCATGAGGAAAACCTTGATGGTCATGAGTTGAGTGAAGTTTGAAATGAGTTATCTGTGGGTTGATAAAAGGGTTTTCACATGCGAATTTCGGGCATTCAAAATTCAAACTTCTCGGGATAATCGACGGATAAGATTGATCCTATAAAAATGGGGCACATCATATCAACACAATTCACCCTCAAAGTCTAGAAATCTCCAATAACCCAGGATCCTGGATTGAAGATTTTTGAGGCAATTGTTATGGGTAAAATTTTCATCTTACTATTTCTATATATCCATCTAACATACTGGGCAAGCCCAAGATCTTGGACTTAATCAATATCTTGGTCTACCATCATGTTTCTTGTGATATTTTGTGCATGAATTTAGAGCTTGACAAGAAAGGAATGGACTAGGTCAAAACTCACGTGGTCAATGTCTCATGAACGTTGAAGACCATCGTAAAAGTTGGGTCAAGCATGGATCAAGGAAGATCCCAAGAATCTCAGAATTTTAGTTATTATTGTTATGTATATAAAGACAAGTTGATCGAAATTCACACACACACACACACACCGGCTGTTACGTTATCTCTGATTCTCTCGACACTTGAACACATTTACATCATTTCTAAGATCAACGAGTACTTGTAATTTTATTTTGATATAATATAAGTTCTAAGGCAGGTGATTTCATCACCTCCCAAGGTTTTATGTCAGATATCCAAAAGGATTATGGGCTTTCCTCATAATTCTCTATGTTCTTGCATTTACTTTAATTTACTTACTATGGTTTGATCAACATCCACTTATTTCATTATTTTCTCGATTGTTAAACTGTTTTCATTATCGAAATTATTAAGATACTCTGTTGTATCTTGGTACCTTTTTGAGTATCTTAAGCTTTATTACACAAATTCACTTGTTGAATCATGTTAACACTCTTTTGTCCCAAATACACTTATTTTCATTACGAAGCAACACATTTTTTATAAAACAGTTCTCTAAACTTGGTTATTTTCTACATAGTATCTTGGGCACAACCAAGATCTTCGACATATTTCAAGATCTTAAACACTTTACTTTCACATATCTTATTTCAAACATCACACCACACTTACTAATTTGGTTACAAAATTAGTTTGTTACTTTTTTACCAAAACAACCCTCATGAGGTATACTTTCTTTCCATAATACACATCTTGCTGTAACACCCGTGTTGCCAGGTATTTTGAGTTATGGCTTAAAATATAAAATGTTGGTAATTTCGGTCCTTAAAATGAGTGTTCTAGAAGTGCACAGAAATAAGAATGTGTCAACCAAACACGATATATTATCAACCTCAGGTCTTATGCTAGTGATAACTAAAATGTTTATTATCGATTGAATCTTGAAGCTCTCGAGATCAAT